CGAATATTGGAGCCACTGGGCGGCAAGGATGTCTTCACCACGTTATGCACACGAGTCAGGAATGTGCAGATTGTAGCACAGGTCTAAGATAGATTAGCATGGCCTGCCAGAGGTTAAAAGTAGACCTTATCATCATAACTCACAGGTGTTTGTAGCTTTTCCAACCAAGCCGTACTATCCCCCTCCTTGGGTCGGAAATCGTTTTTCTTTTGGCCAGACAGGAGTTTGCCAGTCCATGTTAGTGTATTGTCAATGACCTTCTGCTCAAGTATGTTGATCTTCTCTTCTATGCGCATAGTGATGTGACTTGTTTTCTTCTCCATCTCCCGCCGGATGGTAATACTACCCGCCGCAAGTGGGATGAGTAAAGTATTTATGCACATAACCATCAAGTTTGCAATACCAATAGCATTCCGAATGGCTGGTAAATATGCAAAATGTGGCTCTGCTTTCCCAGACTCTTGCGATGTTGCTGCTTCCAGTGCGGCATCTAGAGACACTTCAATGAACCCTTCTCCCATTACTGAAAGAAGGAGAGTCAATAGTGCAAGCATATCCTTGGGTGTTTCACTATTAACGCTAAGCTCTAAGCCTCTGCCAACTGCTTCGGCAAGCCACTTAAGCATCCGCTTTGCAGAAGATATGCTTGGGATGCCGTCTTCTTCGGTCAGTTTGATGTCAGTAGGTTTTGAGAGGTCGCTAGACTCTCTCAATCCTGCCACTTGGAGTAGCAATCTTCTTTGGGTTGGAGGAAATTCCGAAGACTCCAGACGACTCAAATATGCGTCACGGGCCGAAGAAAGCATTTCAGTACCGGATTTGGAAAGGGATGCCATGAAAGTTGTTGCTGCCTTTTTTCTGCGTGCATGAAAAGTAGTGAACTTGAAAAGCAAGGACGTATAGAGTTCTTCCAGTGTCCTCTTCTCCCTCTCTATATATGAAGATCCAACGAAATAAGGTACGAACAAGTCTTCCAACTGCTGGTCAAGGACCAAAGCCGTTTGTGAAGAGATTGGATCCGGGTGTTCCGTCAGCCCATGGCTTTTCAGATCATCAACAAGAGCACTGATGTAACTTCGAGAGCTCTGTAAGGATCGTAGAAATGCTAGTGATGAAACGCTGTTTGCCTTTTCCAAGACCATTTCTAATCTTTGCTGAATAGACTGCTGAAACACGCGTTGCAAAAACTTCCCGAGGACCTGCTCATAGTATGGAAAGGCTCGCCGGATGATGGCCGATTCCTCTTGCACTACGACCTTGACTTCATCGATCAAAGACTGAAGGCTAGGTTCCACTTTCAGAGGTTCAGCATCGGGGTCTGCGAGCATCTCCCACGTCTCTAGATCGCCCCCTACTTCTTCTGTAACTAGCTGGCTTCGATCGATGAAGAACTGGTGCTGGTTGACGAATAAAGCAATGACGCTTGCACCGCCGTTGAAATCCTGAAGTACAGTTGCGCAGTCCTTCATGCCTTCAAAATTTGCCTTGCGGTAGAAGTCGTCAAATTGCTTTAACAAATCATTCTCCAAAGTTTCAGAAAACTTCTCGATGATTTCACGAGTGTTCCGTCTGGTCCCATTCCCTTTCCCATTTATGTTATCGTCTGCAGATATAACTCCATTTCCGGGGAGCCCGGCGGACCTTCCACTCGAATCGTTCCAGCTCTCGGTATCAAGTCTTTGACTTATTCGAAGCAGTTGCCGCGCGATCTGTGCCGACCGTACCTTAGCCTCACCAGTTCCGGAACGTCTTAGGTTCTCTAGAAGCGTTAGCTCGCCCCTGTTGCTCACACCATCCCAACACTCGAGCAGAAAGCGGGCATCAAGCGCCCGGCGTCTTTGGCGGTCTAATTCCTCCAATTTCTTTCCAGTCTCGACAGCCATATTTCCGGTGCCCCCGGCAAGCTCTACACCTGATAGCCCGGCACCATTGAGCGAGGTGTCGAGCTGCTGAAAAGACTCGATTGTCTGTTTTAGCTTCTTACCCAGTGTATTGAGGTTCTGGGAATGCTGTGCCTCAGCCCTGCGAACTGCTGCAGACAGTTCATTTTCTCTGATCTCTAGGTCGCCGGAGATTTCACCGAGGCGCCGCTGTGCGTGCTCAAGGGTCCTGATAAGTGGCTTCGGGTCAAACGGTTGGTTTCCGGTTGTAGGCGTGATTGTAGAACGACGATTCGAAATGGCGGAGTCCGACAGCGCCTCGATAAACTCCTTAACAATGAAGTCGCGACTTGAGAAGTCCTCAAGGGTGAAGCTGGGACCTGTTGGGAACACTGATCGAGATGCAGCGTTGAGTGGGGTAATCGAGGACGCATCGTCCGGCATCTTTATAACTAAAAGCCGGGTCTATCTGCATTGATATCAGCATGGATTGTTGTGCAATCCGGACTTCACGGTGAGCGTCAACCGATGCCCTTGATTGCGCCGTGAATGCGGAGAGAAGAGCAACAAGAATTACGGGGCAGCCCAACTACGGAGTACTAGATAGGTGGTCCATTATCGGGAGGACGGGATAGATGGGTTTCTGGTCTAGCGGATTACATAACTGCATAGCTTCAATAAGCTACTGAACGACGAAACAAACATTACCACCTCCCTGCTAAATTCAATTTGTTGAATGCCTTATATCTGCTCTAATTATCTGATCTTTCTTGTAACTTCCTATCCCTAGTAGTGGTATGCTAGGGTGCAGTAGGACTATTCAGCACTCTGTTATGACTATCAGTGTTACCAACGAGGAGAAGTAAGAACATATTTCGAATAAACCCAGGGGATCTAGTAGATAAATATGGTATATTAAGCTGCACCTAGGAGTACTATTTCTTCACACAGCATCCATAGTCCGGGTCCTTCTTGTCAACCAATAGTCACTAGTTCTAGGATGGCCGTTGGTACTGATATCGCAGGACTAGATATATAATTAGATCACCTTACGGAGTAGACTGGCGCATCGATACTAGCACTGCCAACTTAAATGCCATGTGCATGGATACACCTATCTTTACACACATTGTATGAATATGGAGTATTCCGTAGTCCAGCTAGTTACCGATCTTGTACAGAGGAGCACTTGGGATTTCCCAAGCTCGAATCGAATCCGGTCCTTGGGACCCACCACTACCACTGCCACCGCCGCCTGGACTCCCGAACTACTGTCTAATACCCATACGAATTACATCTCCTTAACATAATCAAAACATCTGGGAGTAACCCTGCGCTAGCGCTCACAGATATTAAAACATGGTTACGCAGCGTGATAGAGAATTGTTCAGGGATGATATTCGCTCTCGAGGAACGAAGCTCAATGCTGCTGAGCGCGAGAAACTGCTAAGGCCATATCTGCCAGACCCGTCTGATCTTCCACGCAGACCAACTCAGCGGCGCAAGAAGGTTCCTCGAAAGACACCAATACGGACGTTTATCAAGTCGCAGCTGCATCTACTCACATACGCCGTTGTTCACATCATCTTTGGGATTTTTTCTCGTCTTATTTTGAGCTACCATGCTGTTGTGGATCGAATCTTCGCCATCGTCTATTACCATCACCGAACACCAGAGTTAATACGAAAGGATGTGAAAGGCTTGAAGCGCTTACCCGAACATCTGAGCGTCATATTATCACTACGCAAAGAAGACGATGCCCTAGCAATCTTGATGGATGAAGTGGCGGAACTTTCAGCCTGGAGCGTGAGTTCTGGTATACCTGTCCTAAGTGTCTACGAGAAGACCGGTAAGTGATGGCTTCAGACCCCTAAGACCTCTACGTATACGATAAGAAAGGGGAAAAAAATGGAAGGCAAGGTTGGGGCTAACAACTTATGCATCTATATAGGTATCCTGAAGTCCTGCATCCCCGTCCTTCACCAAGCTATCACGAGCAAGTTGTCATCTTACTATGGGTCTCCGGCGCAGCAACCTACACTGCGGCTGTTTGCTCCTCACCACCCTATCTATAATACACAGCAAGATGTTCCGCCGTCTGACAGACACAACGCCAGTTCTCTTACAGTGCTTCTCCTGTCTGCGACTGATGGCAGGGAAACGTTTGTTGACTTGACCAAGACCCTGGCGGAGATGTCCCAAACTGGTAAATTGTCCCCAGAGGACATTACTATGGAATTGGTCGATGCAGAGATTAGTGAGATCACCACTCAGCCAACCCAACCGACAGCACCTGTCAATCAAGGCAGCACAAGAATGGGCCTCAGCCGTAATGCCTCCCTAGTGAAGCCTGAGCCTGATCTTCTGCTTGTTTTTGGTCCGTTCTTGAAGTTGGATGGATACCCGCCTTGGCATATCCGCCTCACCGAAATGTACTGCACCGGCGGTAGGAATAGTGGGATAACGAATTCCGACGAGGCTGTTGAGTACCACGGGTTCCTCAGGGGCCTCTGGCACTACGCCGGCGCACAGATGAGGTTTGGCCGTTGATGGCAATACCTTTCCTCGTGACTGTCCAAAGTGACCCTTATTATATACTGGAGTCTCATTCCATGATCTATTAATTGAAAGAGAGTAAGCAGGCACTAGTCTCAGCATATCTATAAATGGATAGTCGTATTATACGTTCCCGAGGATAAGATACGTGGGGTGCGAGAATCGAATAGACATGGCAATAACTGGTAATGCCCCAATGAGGTGCAGCGTTGGCTAGAGAACATACAACCAGTCTTTTGGTGTGCTTCGTCGCTGTACATCTGCCCCATCAACCATTGCCATTGTTTGTAAGTACCAGGAACTATGGGGATGCCTCATGATATAAGTCATTATTACTTAGTCTGCTAAGTTGGGTATCAAAATTTCTATCTTCTATAATTACACATTAGTGGTTCGGACAGAGTGTCTTTCGAGAAAACCCTCAATGAGTCCGCCAGCGGATACCAGACCACTGTCTCACGTTATTCAAGCAGGGTCTGTTCCAAGGCCGCATGAAGCTCTCCTAGTCTAGATGAAGAGCTTGCCATTGGGATTGGAGGCCTTGTACACATTCAAGGCATCTTATTACTTCTTTTCCCGATTCGGTGACACCTTCGACCGCACAGGCAGAGCAAACTTTTCGTGCCCGCTCTGCCTGCCATTCGTCGTCGTCCGGCCTTTCTTGACAGCCGCTTGTAGGGGTCCTGAGTAACCCACTGCAGTCCACAGAGTCACAATGCCGTAAACAAATGTAGCAGCTCCTCCCACCACAAAGATCACAGTCTGCATAGGCGTCAACATATTCTCGAGTGGTCGGTCTCCGGTGGCAGATATGACATGGGCGGAGACAGGACGCAGATGCGAATAGTGTTTGCGGTTGCTGATATGATGTCGGGGGGATTGTTTTAGGAGACACGGGCGGAGAGCTGACTCCAGAAATGCAAGTGTCTTGCGACGAATCCGACTGTAGCATGTGAGAGATACCGTCTATGAACGGTGGCTTATGGTAAGCAGGTGGCTGCTGGAAGACTCGTCGTTTCCTGTGGAGACATCGCTGGCGCGTGAAGACCCCTGCGCTGTCGCCTAAGCATGCTGTATTGTCTAAGCAGAATTGCGGGCTCGTATCATGAAGGGCCGATGAGGCAAGCCTAATTAATCAATGATATGAGTTAGCCACTTCCTCTGATTGCATTCAGCGATACAGGCCGCTTCATTGTTGAGATTACAAACCTGTTTGATAGAGCTGGAGTAATATCTTCCAAAGCTGTTTCTCTTTTTCGCTTTCTTATGTTTTGGGCCGTGATAGAGGCATTGCATTGAACGATTGGGAGGTGTGGCATGGGATCATAAACTGTCGTCGCTGTACAATATTCGGACTGAATTGTCGGCGGAGGAAGATAGAATGTCATGAAGCAAGAAAGGAAAGTGGCCACAACATTAAGAATAAAACCTCGATGAATGCAAGCTGTTATGATGCAGGAGAAGAAGAAGCCACCACAAGGTAAAGGGCGAGGGTGGCCTTCGATGAATGAAACAACAAGGACGCTTGATAGTTATCTCACTCAAATCAGGTGAAACATTCCATGTGGTTCTGAAAGATCCCGGTGCGTGGCAATTGTTGCTATTTTCCACCTGAATAAACAGCCTTGTAAGTAACAATGGATTGAAGCCAGTAAGGGTAACTAACCTAAAGCGGACTAGAAATTGCTGGCTACTAAATTATAATACTTAGTACTTTGCAAATTCCATTTATAGCAAGACTAATCTTATTCATGCGCCCCAATTGTACTCCAAAAAGTGCTGCACACTACCCTTCGGCTAGTATGACTATCCCCGACGTGGCCGACTGAGGAGTGATTGCTGTAACAAGAAAGCCTCATCATGCAACAATTATGTACTAGATGGGAGACCTTCTGTGCTATGCTTTTATGTCTAAGGAAGTAGCCGTGCGGTACAGATGGGAATATCTAACCAAGTGACAGACTACTACATAGCAATACTACTACGTCCATATGACATGGCAGAACGGCCAAATACTGAGCACGAATCGTTCTTACATTCTCCTCACTAGAATATTTAACATTATTTGAAACATGCTGTGTATAGCCGGTCTCGGTGGCGCAATTGGTAAGCGTGATCCCAGACAATTTTCACTCCGATGAGTAGATTACTAACACCTAGAAAAGGTTAGCGCGTACGACTGTTAATCGTGAGGTTGAGAGTTCGATCCTCTCCCGGGACGTCTTTTTTTTTTCGACGATCTTTATGAACTCTATCTACATCCTGATGTATCCTTCTACTCCTTTATATACAAATAAGTGCTCACTCGCATCGAAACTATGGCACTGAAAGTCTCTTTATTCTCCGCCTGGATTTAGTAGTATATTCGTGTATTTTTAAACGAAAGTGGAAGCAAAAGCAACTATCTACTTTATTTACTCTATATCAAGTTGCGTGTCTTTCAAAGCTCTAGGTGTCTAGGAGGGAACGTCTGAGATATATGCACTGAAGCGTAGTTATGAGATAGAGCGTACTCCGTAAAATAGACCAATACACAGTCCAGTTGCCCAATGCTTAGGTTGTTACCCCTGCAGATCTTAGCCTGCCATATCATCCTGCATGAAACATCAATTTGCAAGTGTTGAATGAACATCGTTGTAATTCCAGGCCCCTCACGTACAAGTGAACCAATGAATCTATCAAATCGTTTGAATGTTCCTCCTGTCAAATAGCCGACATTTACCAATGACCGACCCCTCCATAATGACCGAGAAACCAGCGTACTTAATTATCTGCGTAGGATGGCAACCAGATGCCAAGGATATTTCCGGGCCCCTTTTAGATATCCGCTCGAATTTGTGACGCACTAATGTCCCCTGACTGCAGGTTACAGCTAAATACGAGGTCATGTAAAAATGATCATTTCGCCAAAGCTCCTTGATCGCCACCCAATTCACTTGATGGAGTAGATGACAGCAATTGGACCTTTACTCCCGGCCCCTGGCCCCCGATACGCAGATACACAAGTAGTCAAGTTTAAATTATATCGCAGGTCAGCTACATATCCTGGAGTCCATTAATGGGTCGAACTTGCCCGGTTTCGATCTAGTCCAAGTGCGGAGTTCCGTTATTGGATCTCTTGGCAACCCACCCTCCCTTATTCTCTTTCAACCGGTGGAAGGTGCTGATTCCCTTGAGCCTCGTTTCCTGAAGTCCTTACAGGGCCATGCCACTCGGAATCTAGAGCTTGTATGAAAATTGGTCAGAGAACGGGTACGGCTACTGATTGGCATACCCTCGCTTTGACGATTGCCCGTGCTCTATTGCGACCGGAGGGGCCACATCACTACTACTTCCCATCATGGAAACCAGCATCTCTGAGCTGGTTGAGAGGTTAGGAAGTGACGAAGATGCGGTGCGCAAAATGGCAGTTTTTAAACTCCAAGGGAGCATTGGGGATCCCTCCTTTGCCGATAATTTCATCGCAGAAGGTGGACTCACTAGGTTACGCTACTTGACTCTGCATGCAAGTGGTAACACCTTGGCATATAGCCTCACAAGCTTCGCCAGAATACTAGAAGTTGACAAAGGCTGGGATCTAGTAGACCAAGACATGGTTGAAAGAGTGGGTAACTTGAACAAGCTCTCCGTCTTTTTTAAAACATACTCCCGCAAACCACCTTATATAGTAACATACTGATATATCGTACCGTCTTTTCTTTCCAGGTTGTTGAACTCATAGTGACTCACCCATTGGTTAACATCCTAAGGGGTGCAATGTCTATATTAGTTTCCATAGTGTCACATCCTTACTCAGGTAATCACTTATCACAAGATGGAAACTTTGGCTTTCGTGCATTGAAGCCCGCAATTGCCATTTATCCGCAATTCCTGGAAATGCTTGTCAATAGACTTTCGTCTGCAGACCATGCCCTCTGCGCAAATGCACTTCAGTTGATTAATTCGCTCATGCGCGACTCTATCACGAATGAGGCAGATACGGAGTGGCCAAAGTTTATTCAAAAGCTGCAAGATCTGGGTGTGATCAGAGCAGTCTATTCCCTCATGCAAGGTACTGCACTGCAGGATCACGTGCACCCATTAATAGAATTTCAGTCTCTTACCAAAGTTCTTCTGAGGAAATGGAGAGAGATACCCTTAGATCTGGAGAGGCCAGAGCACAGGAGAGCCTTGAAAGGGATCTATGTGGCTAGCTCGCATGAGCGGAGCCAAGAAAAGGGCATCGAGAATGGTGATGAGATGAAACAGTCTAAGAAACACAGTTCTGAGAAGTGGAGGCGTCTTGGTTTCGAGACGGAGAGTCCTTCGATGCAGTTTGAGGATACCGGGTTCTTGGGCATGATGGATTTGGCAGACTATGTCAGAAATCATCAAGATGAGTTCCAAAAAATGCTCCTGGAGCAGTCCACGAAGCCTCCTCAGCAGCGATGTCCCATTGCCCGTGCCTCACTGTCAGTCACTTCGATCTTATACCAGCATTTTGAGGTGGACAAATCGGAAATGGATGATTCCAAGGGTTATCTTCTACTAGAGTCTCGCTCTAACCTTGACAAGTTGTTCGAGCCTCTACTGTTGCATTGGACCAGATTGCATGTAGCAGGATTACATGCTTTCTTTCGTCTATGGAAGGCTACCGGAGCGGAAGTCGAAGATTACGGAAAGATCGTTGAGCTTGTCCGAATCCTGATCGAGTCTGTTGTTGGTGGAGCACCTCGGACAAAGGATGTGCAAGAAGTGGAAGAAGAGTTGACCAACTTCGAGTATGGTCGGCTCCGCGAATTGCAAATGGAGTTGTTGGGGCTCACGTATGAAGATGCCTGGGGCCAACACCTGCAGCAGATGCGCGAAGAATTGTATCACGAAGCACTTCAATTTGTTAAAGAACAGAGAATCCGCTGTCTGTTGCACGGCGCATGGTTCCTCAACGAGGGCTCTGATAGCTCAGACGTGGGAACCGAGCAACGCTCATGGAAATATGCTCAACTTTCGCACAACAGGAGGTTCTTACACTTTGGTGATTTCAATTCCATTCTTGAGAGGTGTCCAGAGCTCGATACTTTACCCCAGAAGAGTAAGTTTGCTTCGTTGATGTCGATGCGTGGTCTCTTCTATTCTGGATTCAAAGACTGACTGCGCTTTACTACTTCAGTCGACCTCTCATCGGTATCTTCAGTGGTCTCTAATGTCTCTGCTTCATCCAACGATCAGTCAGCGGAGCCTGCAAAGGACATGTCTCATGCTGTATCTTATACTAAGATTACCGTGCACGGCTACTCGCAGCCTGTACACGGGACTGGGGACATCCAGAAAAGTAATGGCCATCGCCGAACCTCGAGCAGATCAGTGCAAGGTGAATCTGCGCTGTTGAGTTTCTGTCCACAATCAACCAGTGTCGCATCTGAATGGCTTGATGGTTTGCTTATGCTTCTCAACCAGCAGCCTATAACTGCAGAGACAAACAAGCTTATAAGTTTGGTCAGCGATTACGGGCTCAAGATCCGTTTGTTGAATGTTCGCTTTGATGATGTGGCCTTCGCGGGTGAAGCGCCCCAAGTTCCCACGCGAGATGGCCTTGATGACAATTACTACTATGACGTCTTTGGTGGCTCATAATAACGAGCTCCTTTTCGACACTGACACTGTTATTCAAAAACAATTATTTGCGAGACATCTCCATCCATGTGGAGGGTGTTTTGAGTGACGATAATGTGGATGTACAGGGGCTACCGAATCGGTTGGAATATTTATTAGTACTCTTCGGCGAAATCAGCTGCTAGAACACTGCATCTTATATACTCGAACTAATATGCTCTGTAGATAGGGGATATATGGTATTTTTTTTTTTTTTTCCTTTCTCTTTTCCCTCTGTCCATGAGCCTTTTCCCATCGTCCATTTCGATTGTCTCGTGTAATTCTCGGCTTAATCTCTAATACCTGCAAATGAGTTACTTCAAGAACAGCGACATGTAAGCTCCGCTTAAAAATTCCGTCGGGCTCAATGTGATCATGAGCGGGGGAAGTCATACAATGATACAGTGCATTGGTCATCTAGTTTGGGTTAATATCTCTAATCTGTGGCGCTAAATAAGCACATGCCAAACTACAAAGGGACACAGACGCGTCCGCGTCCAGACACTGGCCCACCAAGTCATACCAGATAAAGGCTAATGCGGCGGGCGAGAGGCTCGTGCGCGCAGAAAGTGCAGTACCTAAGCTCTGTGTAGGCGGTAACGAGTAGCAGGAGTTCGATTCCGCATTGCAATATTCCACCTATATCATACAGCTTCCTTTTTATACTTCTATGTCAGCCTCTAGCTCGACATGTCAATGTCAAAAGTGGATCTTGCTCAGTGACTCATCTGCTTTCTCGCATCCATCATATCAAATGGTCATGAATTGCTTGTCCCATCGCGAAAAGTCAGCGGAATTAGCTAGACTGTCATTCGATCGGGAGGCCCAGGATTCAGATTAAAGTGTTGCTTACCTGCCCTTCTCGATTGTACGGAGCACCACAGCCAGTTCCCAGTCTCTTCATTGGCTCCGGACTATTTACCTTGCAGACCGCGAATAAGCAAGAAAAATGAAACGCAAGCATTCGTTGGATGCTACAAAGACGAATAATTCCCTACATAGCTTCTATGGCCCCGCAAACCCCAAACAGCAATTGCCTGTGCGAGAAATTGGCGATAGGCAAGATCTAGAATCTACAGATGGGAAAGAAAGCAGCAACGAAATAATTGAAGATGATTATGATTCGTTTGATGAGATATTCACGCGCCACATCACCTTCGATACTGATACTCTGGCGGGCGGTTGGACAACTCCCTCGGACCAAAATGATTCAACTAAAACTTCCAAACCTAGACAACGATCTGCTGGGATGGCCAATCGGTTTCTCATTTCCACCGAGCAGCCTAAATCCAGACCACGTTCTTTACAACCCGCTCATAGAACCTTGCCATGGGCGCAGCAGTTTGCTCCATCCAGTATAGAAGAATTGGCGGTCCACCACAAGAAGGTTTCTGATGTGAAAAGCTGGTTAATCAATACATTTGCCAGAGGGGAGCGACAGGTAAGCTACTAGCCTTTCTCTCCCCTCACTTTTGTTTTTATCCTTTCCATTCGTGCTTTTTTCCATATCAGTTGAAGGAAGAATTGTCTAGCACTATGCTTCGCTACATTGATTCCTTTCTGACAGAAGACAAGCTACTTGTCCTTCGAGGTCCTGCAGGAAGCGGTAAGACGGCTACAGTTTCATTACTATCAGCTGTGTTGAAATACGACATTCTCGAATGGAAAAACCCATCTTCATCAGAGTCTGCCACCAAAGCACATGTATCAATTGCTTCCCGTTTTGATGACTTCCTGGAGCGTGGGAACGAATTTAAAGGACTCGACCTAGATGAGGTGACTAGCTCTCCCGGACCTGGAGATAATGGCAATAGTGCGGATGCTTCGCGACAGCGCATAATTCTCATAGAGGAGTTTCCAACGCTTACAGGTTCTGCGTCTGGCCTAACACCGTTCAGACTAGCTCTTCTGCGGTATCTTGACAGAACATCACAACAGAACATTGATTCTGAAATTGATGCGCAACGAAACTCCCCGATTGTCTTGATCGTGTCAGAGACACTTCTTAACTCACGATCTTTTCCTTCAGATAGCCTAACAGTCCATCGGTTGCTAGGACCAGTACTCTACAATCACCCAAAAACGAGCATCCTTGATTTTAATAGCATAGCCCCGACTTTTATGTACAAGGCTTTGCATCTCGTGCTAGAAAAGGAGGCTCGGCTTTCCAAACGTGAGAGATTTCCGGGCCCTGCCATACTCCATAATATCTCTACTATCGGGGACATTCGAAGTGCAATCTCGTCCTTGGAATTTCTTTGCATGAATTCTGGAGGGTTCAAGAAGTTCCCACCCCCCAAAACTAGGAATTCGAAAGGATCTAGCATACCTCTTACGGCCTTTGAAAGGGAGACATTGGATTTAGTTACACAGAGAGAAGCGAGTCTTGGGCTATTTCACGCCATTGGCAAGGTTGTGTATAACAAACGTGTCGATGCCGGTTCAACTGAAGGCGCCCAAGTTGTGTTGCCCCCAGACTACTTAAGCCACCATAAGCGGCCACAATTATCCCAAGTGTGTGTCAACGAACTTGTGGATGAAGCCGGAACCGATAATCAAACCTTTATTTGCGCTCTTCACGAGAATTATGTTCCGTCATGCAATGGTTTATCATTTACAGACTACCTGGATGGTTGCATAGGTGCATTATCCGACAGCGATATGCTGTCTTTCGACACAAGGGGACGAAGCAGGCTCGGGTTGGCTGGTGTCAGTAGATACAACTCCGGGTCAGACTCATTGCGCCAGGAAGACCTCAGTTATCAGGTTGCTACTCGAGGTATATTGTTTGCCCTTCCAAGCCCTGTGAAGAGATCTGCATGGCCCAATAACGGCTCGAACCATACAAGAAGCGCATATAAAATGCTTTTCCCGGCTTCGTTGCGATTGCTTCGAGATATGGAAGAGATACAAGATCTCATAGATGTATGGTCTACTAAACTATTGGACCCATCATACTCGAGCTCCAAACCTGAGGAGGCCACTAGCATAAGTGACAGCCGCAGTAAACCAACTGTAGCTGTTACCATGATGTCACGCAGTGATCTCATTCTTCACCAACTGCCTTATCTGGCTCTAATAGCTGGCGACATGGAGCAATCCCAAGGACTCCATAAGCTTGTCAAACTCAGCGGGACTGAGAGTCAAAGTGATGCTAATGACTTTGATTTGCTTGACAACACTTTTGAATTACCTGCAGTCACATCTACGGCTCAGTGGAAGGGCCCTCCTACAGGAAGCCCGTCCCAAATCAGTCGTCGATACCACAGCAATGCTTTTGGGCCCCGGCTGCCGCCGTCTTTGGAAGAGGAGAGGCTGTTTTTGGCCGATGATGATATTGTAGATGACTACTGATATTATCATATTTTGATTTGGACATAGACTTCCAACATATTCTTTCGCAACAATGAAATTCTAACGACCCAATAGCCTAAGCGTATCAAGCCAGATGCAGTGTAGGCGACTGATCTGCTGGGGTGCTTGCTCCCATGAGAGAAGAAACAGGAAGGGAACGTCCTGTAGATCATGGCAGATGGTTATTGCTTGCTTGATTGATTGACTGCTAGTGGCGGATAGCAGCATGCCTGGCCGCCGGGGCTGCTAGTAGGTCGCCAGCATCTAATGTTTAGCGGTCACTTTCTCCGGAATATGCACGCTATACCACATACAGTAAGTAATACCTACTGTTAGGTAACCAACCCAAGAACACGTATAACATAATCACGTCTCGACCAGAGCCCAAGTCTCACGTCACTCTCATTCCAATTCTGCCTTATCCTTGTCTCATTCTGGACCTCAATTCGTTCTCTTGTCTGCTACAGAACACGGCCAGCAAATGTCCGCTCGAAAGGATACGGTTTATGACCGTAACCCCGTTTCGACACAGACAGAGAGTAAACCGGGTGCTGACTACAAGCTTGAAACTACTTTAACTTCAGGTAATGGGATAAACAATGTGGATGCTGAAATGGTCCCGAAGCAGGCAAAAAGGAATAATGAGGTTATGGGCCCTACAGGTGCCACTTCTGGGCACTTAACAAGTGTAATAAGTGCTACCACTCATACTGTACTGCCTCAATGGACAAATATAATTTTGATGTTCTCCTTGATCTTTGGTGGCTGTTGCGCCAATGTGAGTATGTGCCCAGGTATGGCTACGTTCCGCTACTGACGCCATATGGTAGGTTTTTGCACTTGAAGCAATCATCAAGTAAGTGCCTCCGCAATTCATAGGGGTTTGAACGAAACTGACTTCTATACAGAGACCAGCCAAGCTCTGGTATTTAGTTTCCATCAACCAACCATTCCTATCCCAGGTTTCTCTAACGTCTTCGCTCAAGGTCCTCTGATAACGTTTGCTCAATTCCTTCTAACTGCAGTCTTAACGGTTCCTGGCTTTCTCTCTGTGTCAGCGGGACCTCATTCACTATATCTTAGTCCGCGTGCCATTCCACTAAGATCATGGCTAGTCTACACAGCGTTTTTTGTTACAGTCAATCTTCTCAACAACTGGGCCTTTGCCTATAGGATCTCAGTTCCGTTGCACATTATTCTAAGATCTGGGGGCCCAGTAGCGTCTATGATCATCGGCTACTTGTTCAATGCTAAGAGATATTCGCGAGGGCAAATACTCGCGGTTCTAATGCTTACTTTGGGTGTTGTCACTGCTGCTTTAGCAGATGCCAAGGCTAAAGGCCAGTCTATGAATGTTGAAAGCACTTCTGCAACCACGACATTGGTTGGGTTCACCATCCTTGCTCTAGCGATGATACTCTCGGCTTTCCAGGGGATATATGCGGACAGGCTCTACGCAAAGTACGGCCGAGACCACTGGAAAGAAGCTCTGTTCTACTCTCACACCCTATCACTACCGCTATTTTTACCCGCTTATGCACAACTTGTGAGCCAGTGGCGGATGCTTTTCTCGACATATCCCCCAACTTCTGGGCCTGAGATTTTGGGCATGACCGGAATGGGTCCTCCGAGCCATGCATCATCGGCCGGGCTTGAAGGCATCAGTTCCTCGGAAGAGTCGTGCGAGGGATGGCGTTTTGCGTCAATACCCGGTGGTATATCAGGGCAGATTCCGATACTGAAGGAAATTTTCCAATTGCACTCAATATTCACGTGTGTCCCGACACGTGTAATCTACCTTCTGATTAATGCGCTGACGCAGTACTTGTGCATACGAGGAGTCCATCGCCTCTCCGCAAAGTCATCTTCTTTAACTGTCACCGTTGTTCTCAATGTTCGGAAGCTTGTTTCTCTTCTCCTTTCCATCTATCTGTTTGGAAATGCCCTTTCACCAGGTGTGCTCATGGGCGCATTGTTTGTTTTTATAGGCGGCGCCTTATATGGCATTGAGGGTGCACGCCCCAAGGTGAAAACTGCTAAAAACGATTAAAGCAGTCATGTTTCGCTAGGATTATCTTGCACGGCATTATTACGGCCAGGAAGGTCTTCCAGTCATAAAGATAGAAATGTGCATATATATATATATATATACATCTGAGTATATTGTGTATGATGGTGCATGTGCCTCAAGAATTGGCTTGAGCTTTATAAACATATGTATACATTGGAATGCATATTACCGCGTAGACCTGACATCTATTAGCTTCGACGCATTGATGGCCATTGATAGACAACACCTGGTTTCTTTGGATTGACTACTCGTCACCACTGCTTCTCTATTGTTCCGCATGATGTAACTGTGGATTACCGCAGGTGATGATAATATGTCAGACTATAAATACAAAAATGTGCGACATCATCCGGACCCCGGGATTTCAGAAGGCCAGAAGCTGGATATTGTCTTGGCTGATAGCGCAAGCTGATGGTCCCCAGTCTGCTCTTTCATCGATAATGTTACAGGACTTCTCCGACAATCTTCGCTGCCTCCTTGTAGGTATCCAGCAATCTCTCGCACTTCTCCCTCTCCGCCTTGATGCCATCATCCTCGTAAAGAAGCTCTGCAAATAAATCTTCCTTATAAAGTTCGCTCACGAGTCTATTTTGCACAACATCCTTGCTGTGGTTGACAAGGAGATGCATGATAGCCTTAGGAACTTGATCTGCGATGGTCTCTCTGACGATATTGAAGTAAGAAGATATGAGTCGACTAATCAGCTCGGTCTCTAACAGTTCACGGTCGGAGAGGACAGCTTCGGGGTCGTCCTTCGGCTACAATGATGATCAGCACATGTCTTTCGTGTAACAAAGGGTACGATAAACTTACGGCAGCTCCAACATCACCGGTAAATTCCATAGGAGGTGGGAACTCATCAGTTGACATGATAGGGGAACGTATATCAGTCCGGCGAGTGCTGTGACTAATGCTTGCTTCATTGACATTGGTATATGGACGGCTCTGTCCCGAAAGCTGAGGCAATGAGCTGGTAGGTTGCGCGCCGTCCTTACCGAAGAAGTAGTTAAGGAACGAATCACGAGTGGTATTGGCTGTCCCAAAAGCAGTTTGATACTGTGCATGGGCTCCATTCAAGGTTGCGGTCACGCCACCTTCTTGTCCTTTGCCAAAATGAGGGGACATGCTTCTGGTATTTCTCGGAGGTTGACTCCTGATGGGAATATTTTGCGTCTTAGGATCTGCATGCTGTTCGTCCTCATCCTCAGGGGATGCTGGCGTGTTCCCATTCACCGCTCCGAGTTCTTTCAGTCGTCTCTTCTCGCGCTTTTTCCGGTCATCCGCTAGCGCTGCCCGTCTCTCCTGTTCTTGCCTGTTCTGCATGACAGACGACATAGCCGCTGCTGCACCGAGGAAGTTAGGATGGTTTGTATTGATATATGCCCTCTGGATGGAAATGAGCGATTCAACATAAGCTGAGCACGGTCCCAAACGCTCACGAAGAAGGTCAGACACCACCTCTATCAGTTTCGCCTGAAGCCGTGGAAAACGAAGCAATTCCTGCGAGCCGCACGTATGACAAATCTTTATGAGTTCCTCATAGACCAATTCAACACACCTCTGGCTAGGAGCTTCTAGCATTTTTATTTGAGGTTTGACAAGCAGGTCAAAAGCGAGCTCCGGAACAAATAGGCTCGGACGTGGACCAGTCGAGTTCCGAATAGCAGTTCTAATATCAGTAACAGTTAAGTTGTGGGTAGGATCGATTGTTTCGAGAGAATTGCCGAAAACGGAGTTGAAGATATAATATATCCTCGCCCCTCCACAGAGTTCCTTGGTTGATATCTCGGAGGACGTTCCATCGATGGAAGATATGAAAGACGAGGCGAAGCGCGTCATAAGCTGTAGAATAAGGGATCCACGATGTTCCTTTCCGCTGAACTGTTTATTGCCGTAGCTTGCAAGTTCTTGCTGAGTTTGACCCATGAGAGTGTTAAGACGCGCTTTGATGTCGGGCAGCCGATCCCGGATATGGGACATTAAGGTGGTATTCAGGGTTTTCGCAAGAAACTGCGTACCGCAACGGTTCGCCATATTCCTATAGGCTGGGTGATGTCGGAAGAAATCGACTTCGGCGTGCAATGCGTCAGACAGTGATTTCCCAGATTGAATGTCTTGTTGTGATCGATTAACAACTCCAATAAATCCGAGCTTCAAAGGATAGACGCGCCCAGAGAGAATGTCCATGGCGTTCGTGCCATGATCCATGAGGTCCAGTTTCGTCAAAACTCCAATTGTCCTTCGACCCATGGCGTCCACTTGACGAGCAAGCTTCAAAGCTTCGGAATTCACAAGGTCAACATTAGCAGGCGAAACAGCTAAGATGATACTGTTCGGCTTCGCTATGTATTCAAGTATTAGAGCCCGTGTTTGCTTTTCAATGTCGGACGGTTGGTCCCCGATAGGCACTTTCGTCAACCCCGGCAAGTCAACCATGGTAAGATTGAGTACGTGCGGTGAAAATATCTTGAGGTTGATGGGCTGTCTATTAATTCCTTTGTTGCTTCCAGCTATCCTTGCGGTCTCCGCTTCAATCTCTTGCTTAACCAAGGCGAAGTCATCGAATTTGCGGCCAGGGAGATGGTGAAATTCTGCCCACTCATACTGTCCCGCCACACTTGCTGCTGTATGGGGTATATGAACCTCATCGCTTTCGGGCTTGTCGTGCCGTTCGCTGGGAATATTTATGAGTTGGAGGATCAACGGGCGCCTCGTGACTATACCGCTTCCTCGTGGTAAGAAGTCTCTGCCAACAATGTTCTCAAGTACGGACGATTTGCCAGATGACTGAGAGCCCACAACAACCTGCGCAGATTATTAGCACCATAGCATGGGCGGACCCTTGCCGGGTGAATATTGCAGGAACTTACAATCTGCGGCAAGTCAAGGGAGTCATTTCCGATCGTATTAAAGACAAGATCTTGAAGCT